CATGTAATCAGTGACACATTAAATTCTACTGAGGAGAGGGGAATGATTGCCTTCAAACCTGGAAAAGTATTTATTTTTCTGTGGATGACATTTAACCATAAAGAAGGATGGACTCACTCAACCAATGTAAAATGGAAAATAAGTCGCTAATGAGATAAACCTGTCCTGAAGTCTCAATGTTTGTTCTCAGGTACTGTTCTGGCTACGTGTATGCAGGCAAGAAGCAATGATCCCGTAAAGCTTTACGTGACAGAGTATGCATGTGGGGGCACTGCAACTTGGCCAACTGTCTGGCAAACTTTCTAAGGATTGCCGGAGGCCTCTGTGAGACTTAGGAAGTTGGTTAAATTGTGATGTTCCTAACTCTACACTGAATAACTTTTTCAACATGACATTAAATATGTTTACATTATGATAGCAGATGGAAAACACAAGGGCCTCTAACATCTCATATTTGGGGGCTGTATCTCACTAAGAATTTTCATACAAGCCATTTATAGTCTGTCAGACAAGCCCAAACAATAAAATAGTTCTGCATCACTAAACAAGTTCCCAACTCCTCTCCAACTCTCTATGATTAACACCTATTTTTGTATGTGCCTAGCATAAAACACAGAATATCCTAAGCACTTCAAATGTGGTCCAAAATTATCCACTGGCTATAGACTATTGGTGATTTATAAAATAAACAGGCACCCATATGCTACTCAGCATGCCTCTAACATTATTTCAAACACTATTACAACAAAAACAAAGCAGAACTCAAAGCAAATTTGAAAGAGGACTTCTGGCAATTTTAGGGTAGGGGTGTTTGGAAGAGAGGCGGCACAAAATCAGTTTTAATGCAAAAGCAAGACAGCGTTTTATTATAGCTCAGCAGCTGCTACAACTGTGCCATTAGTCTGATCCTGCAAATGCTTCTGCTTAACTTCACAAACATGAGTAGTCCCACTAACTTCAATAGTGTTTGCAGAATTTAGCTGTAGTACATTGCACATTTATAGCACCTTTAATCATAGAATGAGAAGTTCAACAAATTCACTACTAAAGTATGCTTATGCTGTAATAATACTATGAACTGGCATCATGGGGGGGGCATGTTTGTCTCTCACTTCTAGATCAAGTTTACTCTGTCTAGTTTAAATATTCCTATAGTATCCATCACTGTAGTGCCAAAAACAAGTTCAGGTTTGCATTGAGATGGCCACAGTAGAGTCTGTGCTTCACAGTTCTAGGTTTGGCTAATTAAAGCATGGGATCTTTGTTGTGTTTTTTCTCATCACTAGCTGTTGCAGGACAGCTGACAAATAAATAGATGTTTTCCTAAGTGCAAACTCAACCTGAGATTGAGAATCAAGATGGTTTCTTTACTTTTTGTGCATCATCACCAGTAATAAAGATGCTGCAAGCCAAATTTTGCTTTCAGTTATATCTCTGCAACCCATTGCTGAAGTTACATCAATGCAATCCCACAAAATTCTGGCTCACTTACACCTGGTCAATGGGATAGTCATTTTTAGACCTGGGGTTGTAAATTGCATAAAAATATTGTTAATGCACAAACAGGAATAGAATCCATATTTTCTTGTAGCAGTGTGAATTTTGCAAGGTTAACAGGGTGAATACTTTTTGTCACTAAGTCAGCTGACGTGCAGAGAGCAGATCTGCTGAATAAGAAGGGGCCATTTTTACAGTGTCTTTACACTGTAGAACTGAGTCTCACACTACCACTCTATAAAATATGTGCATAAGATGGATATGTAGGAATCAGTTCACCCACTGCTGAAATGGAACAGCAATTAAATAATTAATAGAAAAATCGGCACACCAATTTTGACCAGTGGTGCCAATTCAGATATTTGTTGGAAGGGGGAGAATTCCGTTCCCAGCCCCCCTCCCATCAGGGACCCCATTCTGATCCCTACTCATCCCTCCCTCCTCTTGCAGGCTCCTCTGGTCTCCTCAGAGGGAGAGTCTCCCCTCTCTCTTATCCACACAGTCCATGGGCTGGTACTGGTACCACTAAGAGACAAGTTCTCAACAGACTCCCCTGCACGCTCTCCACCCTAAAGAAACAGACTACCTGTGCACCAGCTCGCAACACTGTTTGGCCCAGCTGCCCCTCTGTTTGGACAGAGAGGTGGCCGGCCAAATTAGAGTTGCATTGTGACCCTGTCGCACCAAGTCGCAATGCCATTCACTGAAATTTGCCAGCCACCTCTCTGTCTGGATGGAGAGACAGCCAAGTCAAATTTCAGTGGTGTTATGACCACATAGCGGGAGCAACACTCCCAACCTCTCCAGCAACAGCTGTACTGAACTAGTATGAAGCCATTGCTTTAAAGTGGTTGGGGTATGGCCCCTTTGGCTCTGCCACTTATGGAACTTTGAGCAAGTTGAAAAAATTTGCAGGGGGAGCATTCTCCCCAACCCATCTGATTGGTACCACTGCTTATCATGTACTGCAATTAATATATCACTCTGAAATTGCAAGGAAATTTTGAAAAAAGAACAAGGAGCACTTGCGGCACCTTAGAGACTAACAAATTTATTTGAGCATGAGCTTTCGTGGGCTAAAACCCACTTGTTAGTCTCCAAGATGCCACAAGTACTCCTCGTTCTTTTTGCTGATACAGACTAACAGGGCTACCACTCTGAAAGGAAATTTTGAGTAAGCAAAATATAAGGATGTGATCTGAAATTTGGTCAGTGCACCAAGTTTAACAACCCTATTCCTATAACATTGATATGGAATCTTTAATGACCAGAAACCGTAAGGATTATAGTTTTAAGTCTCATCAGATGGCCCCTCCAGTAATACAGTGACCCTCACCTCTGTGCTGGACAGGGGAGCAATACTGATCAGAGGGAAGAGTGCCACCTATTGCACTGCCACTACTTTGTAAGCACTTCTGTGTTATTGGTGACTGGTCTGCCACTCAGTGACTGTTCCAGCCCTACTAGCTATAACTGACGGCATCAGGTAGACTAAAACATATTGAAACATATCCAATAAGCTAAAGGAAGGCTCTGACCTTTTATAATGGGCTGCTGACCTAATGAACCATTAAATTAACTGAAACATTAGAAAAAAACAAAAACATTCTAAGATTAAATCTATAATGTTTCTCTGTGTGTCTAGTGAATATATGTAGTAGTACTAGGATTTTATGTTTGTATTTTATATAATTTTAAATCCTACTACTACATATGTACAAAATATATGTAAAATACAACCGTTGCAAGTGTCCATCTAATTTACAGGCAGTTTGCTAGATTTATTAGCTCTGAAGTCAGTTCCAAATTGCTGCATAAGGTACTGGAACACTGACAGGTGAAATGCAGGAAGGGACCAAGAGTAGGGTGCTCTTGACTACTTTGAAGTTTAGAACTGCAACACAATACACTACTGCATGGGTTGTCCTTGGGAAAAAAATGCAAATATTGAACTAAACAGTCTCTAGAAACTGATAATGCTATTTTTGTTTTGACTAAACGGGACCAGATGCTAATTTTAAACATGATAGACATATCACCTGTAGTCTGATATGGCACAAAATATAGTAGCAAATTTGCAGGGACAAGCAGCAATAGTGGGAAGCCTCTAAGGGGAGAATCTAACAGCCAAGGGGAGGATATGTTATGCTCATAAAAACAAAAGAAAACTTGCAGTAACTAGCAACTCTTTTGAGGCAAGGTTCTCCACATATCTATGACCTGATAGAGTCCTGTTATTCCACTACTTGCGGTTCCTGAACAAATGGTTGTCAAGCACACCAAACAGTGGGGTACTTTTGGAACGAAGGCAAACGTCCACTGTGAACTAGGCGGAGACACCCCCAATTAATGTATTTCACTTGTGACATTTGAAGAAGACGGAAAACGACTAAATGAATTTACATGTGCCGCCCAGCTGCTCACCTGAGAAAGCACTTGCGCGCATATGAAGAGTACTTACAGCCCGTTACTAATCTAACCCCTCACAGCTGTGCCCATCCTCCGAGCCGTGAGTGGCTGGAGAGGAAACACGCTACGTGCCATTTCATGTCTCCATCATTTGTTTTAAAAAGCTCAGCACCACAAGCCTGAAACGGCCGAACACGTCCATTGCGCTCACTCAACCAAGCCGAGTTTGTAGACACAGGGCAGGTCTCTCTGCTGGCCAGGCTTTGATTCTACGACCCGCGGTTTCCTCGCTCAGCTGAGAGCCATAATCATGTCCCTGCTTCGACGAAAGTGCCTTCCAGCCCACTGCCTCCCTCGCTGCCTGAGGAGATTCTTCTCCCCCCTTCCCTGACAGCTCCCCCCCGCCAGCTAGCCCGAGAGCGGGGAGCCGGGGCCAGGCAGCCAGCTAAGTGCGCCTTTTTATTAACTCCATGTAAAATCATCGCTCTATTTTAGCCGTCACTCCCCGCCAGGCAGCAGCGTGCGCGGGGCTCTTCCCGGCCCCGACGCTGCAGGCGGCACAATGGAGCGGGGCGAGGCGCCGCGCCGGCCCCATGCTGCCTCCCCGAACTGCTGACGCTGCTTTTCTGCAGCTACCGGGCGCCGGGGACCTGCTCCTGCTCCACCCTGAACGGACACCGCCCTTCGCTTGGCAGGGACCTCGGCCAACTGCGGGGGGGAAGGAGGGAGGAAGCGGGCTCCTGTCTCACCGCGGGCTCCCCAGCGGCGGGGACCTGCCCCGGCGGGCCCAGCACCTTCTCCCCCTCACCGCCCGTGCTCCACACGGCCCTCCCCAGAGAGGGGGAAATCCCTGGGAGCGGGGCAGGGCTGCCGGCACCTGTGCGCCCCCCGGGGCTGGGACGTGCCCGCCGGGAGCCTCCCCTCGTCCTCCTCACAGCTCTCCGTTCCCGCCCCTCGCACCCGCTGCCTTCCTCCCGCTAGCCCTGAGCGGGGCGCCCCCTGCCCGGGCGGGTTCCGAGGGGAGCGGCCCTGCTGGCGGGGGAAGGGGGAGGGAACATGCGTACAAGCGGCTCATTCCGGCAAACACCCCCCCCCCCCTTTAAATGAGCTTCAGTTAGCGGCTGCAGCTGAACCGGGAGCCGCCGAGCTGCCAACCCCAGGGGGAGCAGCGCGCCCCGGCACTCTGTGCGGCGGCGGCAGCAGCAGCCTCCACCCACCCCCCGCTGGATGGGACTGAGCGCGGCGTCAGCGAAGGCTCCAGGCTCGGAGGGGTTTGGCTGAGCTCACTGCCAGCGGGGCGGCTCTCCTGAGCCCAGGCACCGGCCATGGCTAGGGCGGAGACCTGAACCCGCCTAGCTACACCGGGCAGCTCCCCCGCTGCTGCGCTCCGGCGCCCCCGGCTCCGCGCGGACGTGGCTATGCCTCGCCTCTGACTCGCTGCCACCCCGGCGCTCGGTCCTGGGCCAGGAGCGGCAGAGACGTGCCGCCCCCGCCCCCGCCCCGCGCGGGAGAGAAGATGGCCCTGGACAAACTCTGCTCGGTGCTGGAAGGTAGGAGCCCCGCGGCGGGAAGAGCGTGGGGACGGGTGGCGGCACCTGCGCCAACCCCCGGGACGGCCGCGCCCTCTCCCTCGGCTCCCCGGGCCCGGCGGCTGCGCACGCTCTAGTCCTCCTCGCCTCTTCGGGAGCAGGGTCTGGGCGGCCGCTCCAGAGCAAGACCCTGCTCCGGACGCTGGTTGGTGCCCGGGCGTTTGGTTCTCCCCTGTCCAGCTACCTGCTCTCCGAGCTCGGGTGAGGCTTCGTCCTGAGCCCAGGTGGGCGGAGAGCTGAGTATTCAGGGCACCCCTAGCCCAGTGGCTTTTGCTGCTGTTGGGGGCCCGGCGGGAAACACCAGAGCCTGGCTCTTCAGGGTGCTGAGTGCCTGCAGTTCCGGCTGAAGCTGGGGGCAGCTGTGTGTGCTCAGCAGCTCTGAAAATCGGGCCCCGCGGTCGGAGCTTGGACGGCCCCAAAGGAGTGACCACTTCTGAATATGTGGCTATATGAGAACAGGATAGGGAGTGGTGGGGAAGGGACCATGTATGGACACATCCAGAAGCCCTGCCAGATGCCGGCTGCCTTTATTCTGCTGAGTGGGTGGGTGTGGGGGTGACCAGAGGGACGGTTATGGTAACAGTGACTGCTGAAATGCATAGTATGGATCTGAGGAAAATCAAGACCTCCATATTCCTCCTTTTCCCACTAAACTACTCCTGTTTTGCTAACACTCCAACACGCTGTGTGTCTCTGGTCAGGTATTTATCACTCTTGTTAGCGCAAGATCTGGTTTTAGCAAAATAACACACAATCAGTAGAGTGTCCCAAACTACCCAGTTCTGTCTGCCTCCTGATCCACCTTCATTTTGGCTTTCTCTTCAGTTTTACTCCTCCATGTTCAGAGGTAAAGGTTTAGGACCAGGCTCCTTATCTGAGCATCTCAGTGTCTGTGATAGCATGTCTTATGTATCTCGACAGTGGGGAGGAAGGTTTATTTTATATGAAGCCAGACCTGACAGTTAACTTTGCCTCACAGATAATTTGCAGCATTCTGTATCTTTTGTAGCAATAGCTGATTTGAACCATCCGGGAGCCTTTGATCCTTTGTTTAAATGATAGAACATTTTGTTAGGAAATACTGTTTAGGAATGTTTGCTTGCTTGAAACAGGGTAAAACACAAAGGCAGATACTGCAGGTGGAAAGTAATATCTCTTGTGTAGTGATCTATGATATGAAAGTTGCAAAGAAGTCTGTTGTAAACCCAAAATACATGCGTATCACATGCAGTTCTTTTTCTTACACTACAGTTGTTTTGGCAAACTAAGTTATTTCTCATTTACTTACCTCTACATCTAGGTAAATATTTATTGCAAATATCCTGTTTTGTCTTTAATGTAATGTATTTTCTTTAATTATTACATTAACATTCTTCTGCTGTTGCTAGACAGCAAAGGAGGGTGTCTTCAATCTAAAATCTTTGTTTCAGTGACTTTTTTAAAATTCTCTCGAAGACAACTGTGTTCATAAAATACAGTTGGCATAAAGGCTTCTTGAATTATACTCCCAAATGCAATTAATCCTGCATGTGTAGAGTGGGTGCGCTTCCTGTGTATGTGTGGGTGTAAACTGTCTCCTAAGACGTGTGTGTGTCTACAATCTTCTATAAACACTACAGAGTCTCCAGTAGATTGTTATAAGATTTTCTTAAGACCCTTTTCAGTTTCTTTTGTAAGAGTTTTTATTTGGTGTCTGTGACTTGAATATGCTCAGTTAAATATATAAACTGCACAGAGTTGAAATGTTAGTGAGCTCTTAATTCTAAATACACTGTTCATCCCTGACTCCAGAAATTGCCTCTGATTACTTGACATCATGTGCTGTCTTCTGTCCTCTCCAGAAGAAATCTTTCTATAGCCAGATTATTACATCTAATAATACAAAGTAAAAATGAGGTTCCTATAAACAGGCACATAGTTTTAATTTTAAAAGTGAACTGTTATGAGCAGTTCTCAAATTAATCTTTACTATTTTAAGTTGCATGTTGTAAGGGATTTTAAAAGTTTGCAAAATATTTACTTGAATTGGTGAGAATACTGGGCTGTCTTGCCATCTTTTTTGTTTTTAAGAGAACTTCCTGTTGAAATTGAGGGAGAGTCCTGCTTTGAACATATATTAATTACTAGTATCTTCCATCAGATCTGACGGTATTTCAGTGGCAAATCATTCTCTATAACATTTCAGAACATTTTGCTCTTCTGTTCTTGGCATTGTGAAACACACAAGTGTTTTGCTGTCAGCCATCAAACAAATTTTGGATTGCAAATCTGAGGGAAGAATCAGGGCCATCATTCAGTTTGTAGTTTTTATCTTATTCTGATTGCTCAGGGCTTACTGTATGGACTTTCTTCACTATCAGTAATGCAGGCTGTGACTTAAATAACCCCCCAAATCTGATTTTAATGCCACTTACACACAATACTGAGTAAAAGATCTGAAGATTATTCTTATGTCTATTAATATGCTCCCACCTTGCTCCACCAAGTGACAGCCAATATTTATTGGAAGAAATGGTGGAGCAGGATAGTGCTAAGGTTATGACCACTGCAGGCTTTGCTGAAGTGGAGCCCAACCAATGCTGACCTGTTTTCTTAGTGATGCACACTACTTCTGTGTGAACAACCAGACTCCAATTCCCAATGGGATTTTTATCTGAGAACCTATATACTCCACTAGCCTGAGAAAGTGACATGCTTTCACCTCACCGTATCTCAATGAGATCTTCAAATGCTCTGGTCTAGCCATTTTGATTGATGTGCAGTACGTGGAACATAGCTGGTCAAGTGCAGGAGGAAACTCTAAAATAGCATATTACAACTCTTTTGAATTTCTCAGGGGGGAGACATAGGCCTCTTTTTATAATTAAGGTCATGATTCCTTCATCCTTTAGAACCTGAAACTAAATATATCTATCTTTTTAGTTTTAGTGCATCTTATTTTCCCTGAAAAGTAGCAGATTAAGGGTGGTTTTGTTCCCTTGGTCAGCCCATGCATCTCTCCCCACCACACACACTCCCTACAAACAAAACCCAAACCCCTTCAAATAAAAAAAAAAAACCCAAAAACATAAATACTGACATAAAATTATGAATTGATGATTGTACTTGGTAAATTTTAAATCCTGGAATAGTGTGGAAAAAACAGTGCTAGCCAGAGGGATCAGTGGGATTTTTCTGGTCTGGTATTTCTCAAACAGCAGAGCTAGAAGTAAACATTTGTACCCCTTGAAAGTTGGCATTCCCAGTTTTCCAGAGATGCACAAGTATTTAACTTCCATCTCTGGCAGGCTGCAAGAGCATGGACCTTAAAATCACATTGGTGTGATTAACACTGCCATTCTCCCCAGCCCATCATTTGCATTCTGGCATAATTTTTAATACCTAATTACCCATAAACAGAGATTAATGCTTTATTCCACTTTAAGGCTGGTAATCCCACCTTGCTGTTTTCAGATTCAAAAGGTGCTACAATGAGCCAATAAAGTTGAAGTTAAGTAGAGAAAATAATATTTAAAGATATAGAGACTGTTATTTGTCCAATTATAAATCAAAGTAAGAGCTACAAGGGCCCAGTGAAGTTAAATGAAGGAAATTTCAGAATGAGGGCAGTCAAGAAATTACAAAACTTTATTTTGAACTTAAATAATGGGAACTGCATATGACCTCAGCAGCAACGCTTAAAAATGCTGAGTACCAAGCAGGTCCCATTGAGTTAAGCAGGAGGTGAATTACAGGATTGGGCCCCAAAAGCAGCTTTATTTGTGCCTACATGTGCTTGGTGGTATTTTTCATTCTTGTTGTTAATGCATTTACAAGCTTAAAAGTATATGAAGGGTATTGCTCTCTTATAGTAGTTTAACTTAATCAAAGGTTTATTTGATTTACTAATTTCCCTAAAACTGCACAGGCACTGGTTAAAAATCTTACAGCAAAACTACTGAGAACTTCTTTATATTTATAGAAATTCAGTGTGTGACTCGGTTGCACAATTGTAGTCATCTTAGCATATGCACAACGTGCCTCGGGTGGCATGTGACCAGGATTCATAACCGAATTTGGTCCACTGTTGGGATTATTAACTTCCAACCTGGCCCAGGTGGGAACTGACTGGGAGTGCGATGTGAATGCTGATCCATGCCCCCACAATTGTAATGAGAACAGAGAATGATCTAGTATTGATGCTAAGGGAGATTTTGAAATATGTAATAAAAATCATCATTTAACTAATGAAAAAGCCATGATTTTCTATTTCTCTTTCCCCAATTTATTTTATGGAGAGAGACTTTACAGAAGGATTAAAATATGCAGCTTCTCATTCCATCTGTCTGATATTCACCTATCTCAATTGCGTAGCTCAGTGCAGTGGAAGATAAGAGTGCTTTTCTGGGAGCAATTACTACTGAAAACTGTATAATTGTTCCTGAAATGGCAAAATCTTATTTACAAAATAATCTAATTTAAGGAAATAACCATACCCTGAATTGCATGTGTCCTCTTGGAACAAAACATGCTCTTTTTATATATGGTGCCCTAAATACTATGGGGATGGGAGCCTTATAAATAAGCTTGCTGCCACACTCCTCCATGCAGAACAACTTCCCACCAATTTGCTTGTCTCTAAGTATCTGCAGAATTAGATAGAATACCATGTAAGTGGCCTGTCTCAATGTATTACCAGCAATTATTCATATCCTAAGATCTGAAGACTAGCTTAATTGGAACTGGTAAAATAAATAAAAATTTAAAATGAAATTTTAAACAAACAAAAAAAAAGCAACTGTGTTTTGTGAAGGTTTTCCCCATTTATTTGACCAGGTATAAACTCCACTCCATTTCCTGGTTCTTACAGGACAGACCCTATGTAAGTGTCCCTGCTCTGATATGTGGCACTGTTAAAACCAATGTTTTAATAAGTGCCCATCACAAAAATTCCCTCCTTTGCCTATGATAATACCCAGGAA